GACACTTTGTTTGACAAGCGAATTTTGCATTTGCGAGGCGGAGCGTTTAGCGAAGCCGAGCGAAAGCAAAATTTGCGAGTCGAACAAAGTCACTTTTGATCCGAATGAAACATGCTATTTTTTCTGCAACCGAAACAATTAACCTCGCAATTAACTCAAATAAATATGTGGAGTTACCACCAATGCCGTGTCATATGTATGCAATGCAACAAATATTGACAAATAGTCCGTGTAGTGAGAACATTCTACCTGCATCAACAGCAGGTTCATTCAATTTTCAAGGATGTTCGAAGTTTAGTTTCAATATAAATACAATCACAGAGTGACATATTTGTGTATGGACCAGAGGGCCTATTCTCGAATGTCGAACGAAATATGTCGTATGCGACATAAATGTCGATAGAAATTGTCGCACAACGTTAAAGTGTGGTATTCTCGATTGCTTTCGACTTCAAACTCGCATGAGACAAAATTTGTCGAATAGCATGAACTGGCAACATCGAATTAACAATTCTCGAATGTGTTTTGTGCTTAGATCATACAGGAATGATCTAAGGTTCTGTGCCAATCATAACAATGTGTTGTGGTTTCTTTGTTGTTATGATGGAGGTTATGTCAATGATATGTTGAAATAATAATGGCAGTGAAAAGAAAAAAGTTATTGTATTTCATCTTGAAAGGAAACACTCAACTTGATGGAAGAAAAATAGAATGAGCCACTTTTATCTGGCAAAAAACATGCAGAAGACCTATGTCCCTGTACCAGAAATGGTTCTAGCACTCACTAGCAGTGCAATGGACTCTCACTAATTCCTTACCTTAATGTTTTTATACATTTTATGTCCGATAAAAATCTGATCGCATTATATACGTTCTCTAGTGGCCGTTGATGATTTTCTTGATTTTTCAAATTTTCAATTTCTGTCAATGAAACTGCCATTCCCAAGTTAACAAGTGAAGAAATCAGTCAAATATTCAATCTCGCATTCGACATCAAAATGTCGACTGCTTAAGACCACTCTACAATTTGTCTATCGAAAATTTTCGAATGCGTCATTCGAGAATGAGCACTCACGTTTTTTGTTCGACAATATAGTAGTATCAGGGAAATCTCGCATGCGACAAAATATCTCACCATTTGAGAATAGGGTCCCTGTGCTCTAATGGCAAATACCGCGCCAGTGCCAGCTATTGGAACAAGACGTGGAAAATGTTTGGTTAGTGAGCTCGTTAGTGAGCATATCAACAATAATATTAGCGATTATTTATTCGTCTCCATACAACAGTTACTACACTGTGTTCGACTTGATAATCAAATGAAGCTGAACAATATTGTTGTTTGAGACAAAAAAACTATTGCTCACCGTGATTATTCAAAAACAAGTTATCCACCCAGAGAATAACGAATGAAATACAGATCAAGCAATCATTTGAATCTTGAAGGCTTCCCTGATCAAAACAAAAATACTCAACTGAGATGTTTATAATTCCAATACTTAACTATAATAAGGTTTATTTATATCTCCAGCATGGGTATGAAGCCCAGTACATCCCTTTTAGTTTCTAGGAGCTAAAGTTAAACTTTAGCTCCAAGGAACTAAAGTTCAACTTTAGCTTCTAGGAACTAAATATTTTGCCTAGCAACATACCTATTTTTGTGTCAGTAATTGAAACGTCAATTTAAGAGCTAATTTTGGTATCAAAATGGACGACTTTTGTGTCGGTTGCAGTTTTATTTTGACTCCGACAATATGTCCTTGGAATATTTATATCAAATTTTGTATCACCCTGTTATATTTAACGTGATTATTCCAACGATATCAAAAATAAATTTGTTGAAAATACGTATTATCCAGCTTTGATATGACTATGACATACGCTAATACTATTAGATTCCATCCAGAGACGAGCCATTTGCCTGGTGGGAGATGCCACATTCACTTATCCTTTGACCTTATGAGAACATCGTATAAAAGTAGAAGACCATCCATCTTTCTATACATTCTTCAACGGGAATACCACTAACAATGCCAGCCAGACGTACTCGACCAGCCCAGTCAGCACATCTAGTCGTCGTAAAAATCGAAATAAGTCGAAAAACTCTGAACCAAGACTGTTTCGTCCATACAACTGTAAACCTAATGTTTTTTGAGTTTGTTGAGCAGTCGAGTCTAGCTATCTAGCTTGAGCTTATGATATTCTTGAATTTTTCGATTTTCTATGTGAATTATCACATGTCTTATATTTTTTCAGCATCGTAGCTACTATGGTTTGACCGATTTTTTGAAATCATTATTCCTATGAGTCTATCAGTTGGACTCATTGAATAAGCAGGTATCAGTGTGTTGAATAATTTCTGTTAAAAATAAGGGAAACTAAGGATATATTTCTTTGGAATTTCGGAAAAAGAGGTCAAAAAACACATCAAAGCTAGTTTATATAATACATTGCTGTATTGTGAACAGAAAGAGCTTTCAGAATCTGTTAACATCTATCCTTATAATAAAATAATGGTTCAATCATGTTCATCGAATACAAAACGTTGCATATACCCTATACAGGGTGTTTTCTAACTACGGTTCCTAACTGCAGGGGGTGATTTGTAAGGTCATTTCAAGAAGAAAACATCCTATGAACATATGTCCGGAGTTGCTTCGTTTCTGAGATACAGGGCGGTGAAATTAAAGTAACGAAACGGTGAATATAAAATATCATGAATATCCTGGAATCGATTTGGTAGAAATTTGGTACTTTCATTTGTCAAATTTTATATGCATATCGAGTGTAAATTATATTTTTGGCGGAAATGATGAAAAGCTCATTTCTCCAATGCAGGTGTTCATGATATGCAATTCAGTGGCTTTGATTTTTTTCTCTAAAACGAAGCTGGATATTGAGAAAATACAAGAGACCAAAAAGTTGTATTCTGAGTTGTCTGATCTCACAAAAATGAGAATTAATTAAAAAAGTCAGTGGCGCACTTTTTTTAACAATATTGTTGGCTGTGGTGCCCACTGTGACACCACTGTCCCAATAATTTCAATCTGAATAGGACTAAATAAGCGCCTTATTATTTCGAATAAAAGTACCAAATTCCAACCAAATCGGTTCTAGAATATTCATGATATTTTATAATTACCGTTTTTTCTCTTTAATTTCAACACCCCCTATCTCAGAAACGAAGCAACTCCGGTTATATGATAATAGGAACTTTTCTTCCTAAAATGACCTAACGAATCACCGTAGTTAGGAAACATTCAGTATACACTGAGTCCAAAACATGAATGTCTATCATAGGGATCGTTTCTCGGATCGTTTTTTCTGGTGATATTCGAAGAAATAAAGAAAAACAAACACTTTATTTGCCACTTTTCGAGCTGTACAAAACAGCGTTGACAAATTTTCCGTAAGACGTTTCGTTTCGGAGAAACCTTCACCAACTTTACAACATCATAGACATCCTTATTATGGGCATACCATATAAAGAAATCAATATCACCACGATAAATTCCATTGAAAGTTGCTATAAAATAGTATTTTAAATTTTTTGTATCTTCACTAATACCGCAGGAAATCATCTGAAAATTAACTATTTGAAATATAAGTGCTCGGTGAAAGACTAAATAATTTTGGGAATTTTCGAAGGCTGCTGGAATGACCAGAGGAATGACCTCGGGAATGACCCTCTGAATGCGCAACTTCTCTTCAGTTCAACCCGAGGTTCAACCTAATTCCTATCTCCTACCGTTCCCGAGATCCCCATGCTATGTATCGGTATCTTGGTCACACTTCACTATACAGGATGTTTTGAAATTCAGTACCAAGATTTTGAGTGTATTTTTAAGGTCAAAACGAGGGTCAAAATGAGACTTTTTTCTGCAAACACTTCATTCCCGATCGAGTTCCCGATCTACAGAGCGTTTAGGATTTGATATGATATAGTTAAATTTCTTTCCTTATTGCTATTCCCGTGGATATTGCAGTTTTCAAAAAATTCACAACAAATTATTCACGAAAGTTGGCGGAAAAACTATAACCCGAGCTATAACCACAGAGCTTTATTAAGCAGGAATTTGAAAATTATGAAATTTGCGGACACATGTTCATTAAAAAAAGAAGTCTAACTTCCGTCTCGAAAATAGGTCTTAGGAGTCTTGATACTGAATATTGGGAAGCCCTTTATAAAACAACTAGTTGACTTCAATGAAATCACAACTCAAGGTTGAATTTTCTCTAGAAATGCGGAGCTCAGTATGCCTAATACATCAATGTCTGGTATATGCACGGTATTCTCATCAGCAATAATTCATGAGAATATCATTTCAGATCCAACGGGAGATCTTCTTCATAAAAACTCTGATTTTTATATGCAGAGCCCGTTTCAGGATACTGTGTTCTGATAATGGGGTTCAGTACCCAAACATAAGCTGATGCTTTTAGATCCCATCCAGAGACGAGCCCGAGGACGAGCCATTCGACTGATGGGTGATGCCACACTCATTAATTCTTCGACATCATTGTAACATCGTAGATGAATTGGCGACCTTTCACTTTTTCATGCATGCTCCCACGGATAAACCCTCGAAAAATCCACTAGCAAAACCAGTCAGACAACCTGTCATCGTCAACATCAGAATATGTCGAACAACTCTTTCCTTTAACTCGTTCGCCTATAGAACTACAAAGCTTCGGAGTATTTTGTCTAAGGCAGTATTCCTGAAAACTTATAAAATGATTTCCAAAATTTCGAAAACATTTTGAATATCACCTTCTCTTCCAATCCTAGGTACATACGATATTCTTCAAAATATCAAGGAATCACGGTCGTGCCCTCCAAAATAAGAAAATATTTGTCATACTCTTGATTCCAAGCATATTTCATCATTATAGGAATTCCCTCTCGTGCGCTCCAAGCGATAAAAAAGGTGTAACAGCTTTTTCAGTCACCAAAGAAATTGCAGTTCCAGTTGTCTCGGTATGCATGATATCACGAAACTCACCTTCTTCAGCGAAAGAAATGATCTCCGACGTCCTCCCATAAAAATCGTCTACATCCACAGTCTCCTCGGCACTACTTCTATCACTAGTAGTAGAAAAATCCTCGTATCTATTCAATAAAAAATCACTGTCTTCGTCAGCTCTCTCTAGAGTCTGCCAAACAATATCCCTTGGAAGACTTTGCGTCACATTGGGCTTGTGCCTAAGCCCCAGCTTCTGTAAAATTTGCTTCTTAATTGCTTCTAATCTGAGCTGATCGCTCTCTGATCGCTCTTTAGTGTATTGGTTCTCGTAGAGACAATTCGGACAACCCAAAATGCTGCGAGATTTCTCCAATTGCGAGATATAGCCTCCTAGTTTCATATGGTGGTGCCGCTTCCTCTCTGTGGTACTGCCTATGATGCAGGAGATAGTACTGCAGAGGAGGTACAGGCAGGACAGAGTGATGGTCCAGTGCGATTTTCTATTGTAGTAGTTCCTGAATACAGCCATTTCTACTGTTTGAAAGTTTGTTGGACGGCTGAGTCTAGCTAGCTAGGTTTAAGCTGATTATTACCTTGAATTTCTTAATTTTCTATCTAAATTATTACATTGCTTATATTTTTCTAGCATCTTAGCTAATGGTTTTATCGCTCCACAGTCCACGCTCGCATCTTCAAGCTCTTATTTTCTAACCAGGTATTATTGCACATGTTTCTTTTTTTTTAATTGAGGGCACTAAATTCACAGCTTCACTTAATTCAAAGGCATCAGTCTCAACAGTTTCACGACTATAAGCACACGAGAAAATCCGAAAGGGTAAGAAAGTTTTTCCGAAAAAAAGCGCTCGAGCTTGAAAGTTTTCCCGAGCAGGCGCCTCGCGTTCATTTGTTGCCAATACGGCGATCGGATGACGACTGACTTCCATAGCTTGCTAGACTCCCTTATGCATGTGTCAACAACTGTTTTGTGGTTTACTGTGGTGGTTGGTGGTTTGAGGATGAAAATGTCAACCGACGTTTGGTTTCGGCTCGAGAGTTATTTGCTGTGAAGGCGCTGAAAGATTCATTCAATTTTTTCATTGGGAAATTTCCTGCTGATAAATTTCCATCAAGTTGGCTTCATATGTTATCGAAATCAACAATTGACAGTTGACAAGTTCGACAAATTTTCAGGCGGCAACCGATGGCATCATCGATTGATCTATTATGAAAAATAGATATGATGAAAGTTAAATGTTGGTATTTGAATGTTTTATCTTGGAGCGCACCGAAGGGAATCCGTTACATGTTCGCCAATCATCGTGCGTACCTAGGAGGCCTGTTCGTTTGTTTGTATCGCTGAACTTGCTAAAGTCGATTTTTTTCCATAGATGTCTCTGTTCATGGCATGATATAAAAAAATTAAGTTGAGCAGGTAGAACAAGCACCAACGAACAGGCCTAAAGAGGATTGGAGAGAAGGTGTATTGAAATGTTCTCAAACTCTGAGGAATTATTAAGTTCTTTCCCAGTTGGAAATCAGTTGTCACTTTCAACAACTTTGTTTATCCTTCTGTAGTAGTCCATACTCAAAGTGGAGTGGAATGATCAAGAAATAAAACTCAAAGTCGTCTCCACAAGTTGAATGTTAAAAAAATCAGTCAATCCTGCTTCAATGAAGTTTGAAAGGTTTAAAAGACATGATTCGGCCATTAGAATGACCATCTTCAGTCAAATTGATACATCACTGTGTATCTACAATAAAGGACCCAAGCGTAATTTCAACATACCATGATGAAAATGAAGGAAATGGAAAATCACAAAGTTGTATATAAATGCAACATTGAAATAGTTAACAATTTCAGGAGTACAGAAGAAAAGTGGTGATTATAATGAAACTATAACAATATAAATTGATTAGTTATTGATAAGTGAAAAGTGTAAAGGCTTAATTTTCATTAATACACAAATTATGAAAACAAGATGGCGAACCAAAAGTATTAAGGTTGTACTCACGTGGAAATAGTTATAACATGGTGAAGGCGAAATAGAGGAGAAAACTTGATAAATAAAACTCGAAATAAAACATAATTAATGATTGTGAAATTGAATGGAAAATTTCCTGGGTAATTATCAAAAGAAACGCAATAGTATAATACACAAGGTGATTCATTTAGAATGGGCAATACGAAAATATTAAGATTGAGCCCGACATGCCTCATCTCAATTTTGCTGGTTCGGAAGATACAGAATGTTCTTGGGGTAGATTTCATTTCGAAATTTCTCAATAACTTTGAAGGTTTCAACAGTATGAACATGAAAATATGTAGTTTCAGAGGTTTTCTGACATGAGAAGTACGAATTTGCATCTCATTTTGTGATTGCTCATATAGAGGACGCTAGTGGCACTCTGTTACTTCGGTAAATTACTTACATATCTTCTTTGTCCATTGAATGTTGATCAAAATAAGTGAAAAATCTGAAAGTCTGTTTAATTTCACAGGATAAATGCAATTTATTCTGAATTGTCTACCTTTAACGGTTTCTGCGTTATTCGATCTTGAAGAGATTTATGTTCCACTTGTAACATTTAAATAATTCCAAATCATGAAGTTAGCGAAGCCATAGTGGAAAAAAAACAGAAATCAATGATGACAATCACGACAACGCCAACATTATATAGAATTTCAAAGTAAATGTTCGACCGAAGTTGAGAAAATCTGTTAAAATAAAATTCCCCCTTGAACACCCTGTATATGCAACATTTATATAAGGCATGTTGGGTTGAATATTTTGGTGTTCACTATCTGTAGTTCAGCGAGTTTCCTCATTCTTAATGAATAACCCTGTAAATTACTTATTATACAAGTTTTATAAGACTCTATTTTGTCGCATGCACTAGTGTGTCAATATGTATTATATAACGTGTGTAATGAACCATTTTTTTTATTATGCATCAATTTTTACGCACTCTTTTAATCAGAAGAATTTCATCGATATAAACATCAAATATTGAATGATGTATAATGAGAGAACATTTGTATTTTTACTGTCTAATCACAAAACCTTCGTGTCAATCGTCTGACAGTTTGACGTCACCATTACCAACTTTGGAAGAAGAAATTCAGCGTGCCCTAATAGGAGATGTTCCGATCAGTGGCGGATTCAAGGGAGGGGGAGGGCGAAGAAGAGGGGTACCTTTTCTTGCAAGAAGTTGGCATCATATCGAAACTCGACTTAGGTGTGAAGTTTTGCTTGAAAAAAAATTAAAAATAGCCTGCTTGGTCGAGGTCAAGTGACTTTCGCTAAAAGGTTTAAATTGTTTTCAAATTAATCGCTGTTTATTTTATTTGTTCGAATTTCATAATCGTTCACGGAGCCAGAATTTGTTTTTATTTCGAGTGCACCCATGTGTCTCAAATTCTAATGTTTCATTGCAACCTCTAGGTCTTGATATTTTTCTGTTTTACGAAATTTTTGTGATATAGGAAAAGATTCATTTTTGATGAAACTGATCTAAACTTTGGTAAGATATGTTAGATACGTGATGTAGTTTTATGATACTTCGATTATTGAGTTTGGCATCATTTCAGTAGGGACTGGAAAAATCCATGAATAAATTTCGCTCCTGAATACTTGATGATACCTACATCAACTTTGCATCAGACATATAACAGGAGTTTGATGCGGGATTATTATGATTCAAAGGGAATCGTATGCCTATTAGTCGATTATTAGTAATTTGATGTTAGAAGCAAGGTATTGGTATCAAATAGTTTTGTTGAAATCAAGATTGACACTGATTTGTTGCACCCCAAAATTTTGCCCCTGTTAAAATATAAATGACTTTTTTCTGCAACTGACACAAAAGTAGTCCATTTTAATAACAGAATCAGTTCTCAAATTGGCTCTTCTATTAGTGACACAAACATGAGTATGTTGCTAGGCAAAACTTTCAGTTACTGGGAGCTACACTTCATTTCATACCCATGCTGGATATATATATATATATATATATATCTTCGATTCGCTGAAGTGTCATAGTTTTTGATTTCTCAGGTTTATATCCATATTGTGATTACATAATAGTGCTCACATGGATATAGTGGTTTACGTTTATTATCATGCTTCACATTGAATGAATTCCCCACGAAGATAAAGCTTCATTTTTACAGAGTTTTTGGAAATATGCAAAGTACCTAAATCATTCTCTTCGATTTCACTTTCATTTACATACCGCTTACATTTTTAATGAAGAATTCTCATACAAACAGAAATTGTTTGAATAATTCTAAATGCAACAAGATTCGAATATGACAGTTGACAGTTCCTACAATTGACAGGCCGAACAGGAATCGAACGACTGAATGTGTGTTTAAAAAACTCAGTTGCCATGGTAATGTGTTCACGAAATTGTTTAGCCATGGTAACGTGTTTAATTTTTTGAATAAATCACACATCATCAATCCGTTATCAATCGATGATTCAGCGTGGAACATAGCCGTATACGCTAAATGCCATTTCAGTTATATGAGTACAAAAACAATGTAACCTAACTCTATTTTTAATCACAGTTAAAGCTTGCAACTTTGTCAGATCGATATGGATCATAACCTTCAGCGACCAAAGAACTGTTCAATAGACAGAGTAAAACTATTTGATGGATCGAACCTGTTTGCAGATGAAAACAGGGATATTCTTCGGAAAGTAGAGTGATTTACAATGACATATAAATTCATTGGCCCAATTTGATGGAAAAACGACTGGGAGCCGACAGAATATCATACAAAGTTAAGAAAAGTTATGTAGAAGAAGAAGTGATGTTCCAAAAGTCGTACACATTTTGCTGAGTTTGCTTCGCGGTGATTTTTGTCTGATACATACTAGGGTGGATTGATTCATTGTTTCAGAATAATCATCTATGTACACAACACATACAGGATGAGTCAGAATGAGACCGATACCTCAACCTTGTTTCCAGACTCCTTATACTTCATTCTGGCTCATACCATTGATATTTGGCAGGAATCATGCAAACTTATATCAAAGTTTTGAAATAAAATATCTGAATCGTTTCTGTTCTCTCAATTGATAGCGATCCGCTATTGTTGCCAATCATTAAGTATTATACTGATAATATTGCATGGTCCTCGATAATCAACATCAAACTGTCGAAGAAAAAACAATAAATAAAGAATAAACACTTCATTAGTCTTAGTCCTAGTCTCTATTGATCCATTAAGATGAGCTCATAAAAGCAATTACACAAGTCAGTACATATCGAATACAGTTTAAAATACAAAAATATAATGAACACTTCCATAAATAACAAAAGAGATGAAAGCAATAGAGTGAGTAATGATGAAAACAATAAAAAATACAAAACATTCCACTAATTCAGATAAGGAAAGAACTCATCGATTGTATAGGGGCTTATTTCAAAAAGTATTTATTTTATTTCATGTTTGAAAACTTGTTCTTCTGTGATTTTCCTAAAAAACTGCGAAAGTGCCATCATATAGTCTCAACCCCA